ACACTTACTAGCTGTGTGACCCTGGGCAAGTCACTTAATCCCACTGCCTAGCCCCAAAAAACAAACAAACAAACAAATAAATAAATAAATCTCTACCACATAAAACATCATTCTTTCACAACGTGAATTTCTAGCCAACATAGAGGCACTGTAGCTGGGTGCATAGAGCCTAGAATCTTATATTTTGCAGCCATTGAAGTATGTGGTCTGGATTCAGTCCTAGGATAAGTCTGACCCTTATTAGGGGTCCCTATTCTAACACTCATTGGCTGATCAAATCCCCTATGCCAGTTATTCTGCATACAATTTTCCTTTCAACAAAACTAATGGCTCACAAGTCTGGGGTTTCCCAAAAAGGAAGACGGTGGGGGGTGGTGAATAACAAAAGTACTCAATATGTAATACTGCTATGAACTGTATAAGGGCCAATATTTTATTCTTGAATAAAAAGAAATTCTAAACATCAAAGCATCATAACACATGAAAAGAACTAAATAAGACTAACAAGTTTCAGGAACCTAAGTTATAACTATGGTCATAATTAGTTCGGAGGTTAATATTTAAGCTTTATCAGAACGTGAAGTGGTTTTTCCAGACTGCTAATCAGGGTTTTATATTTCACCACAGCGGAACACAGTCTGATCAAATAGCTAAGCCTGATCTTCTTTCCAGTAGCCGTCTTCTCTCACGCAGAAGCTTCCCCTGTCATTATCCACTGATGCTGTGGAAAGATTCATCACTGCCACTTCGGAAGGCCTCCCAGCGCCTTAGAGTCTTTTGGAACTCCTAAGCTCACCACCCGTTCTGGACATGTCCACGTGGAAAACTTACTGGAATGAGCACAAAGAGCCAGGGAAAGGCAGCCATATGTCCACTTACTTGAGTCCAGATCTCAAGAAGTGAGCAGTATTAGGGTTGCCATGATACAAAAACAACAACAATATTTTTGTGGTGCTTACCATGTGCCAGGACTGTGCTAACTTCATAATCATTATATACCCCTGGGAGGTAGGTGCTATTATTATTGTCACTATTTTAAAGATGAGAAAACTGAGGCAAACAGAGGTTGAGGGACTTGCCCAGGGTCACACAACAAAGTGTCTAAGGCTGGATCTGAATTCGGTTCCTGACTCCAGGCCTGCTGCTATATTCGCCGGACCACCTTGCTTCCCCATCCTGTTCCACCCCTCATTGGAAGCACATGTCACTCGAAGAGCTACAGTCAAGAGGGGTTAAGCTAGAAGCTGTCGCTTTTTTTTTTTAGGCCATTGGGGTTAAATGACTTGCCCAGGGTCACACAGCAAGTAAGTGTCAAGTGTTTGGTCTGAGGCCGAATTTGAATTCAGGTCCTCCTGACTTCATGGCCAGTGTTCTATCCACTGTGCCATCTAGCTGTCCACTGAGTAATTAGCTCTTCCAGCTCAGCAGCCCATCAATCAGAAGACTCTTTGGCATCTCCCATTGCCAGCCCCTCAGTGATGAGCTCTGAAAGGACCCACAGGGTCATTAGGAATAAGGCGCATAATATTTGAGCACACAATACTCTGTGGAATGACACTCATTACAAAGGAACTCAAAGCAACACAGTGTGGCTCGATCAGGACAAGCTTTAGAGGCAGCCAAATGCGGGCTCACTTATTTGCTACTTGTATGACCTGGGCAAGGCATATACTCCTCAGAGCCTCAACTTCCTCAAATATAAAGGGAGAGGATGACCAGGTGACATCTGGGGTCCCCAGCTTCAAATTGATGATTCTATGAATTCCTTTCTTGGGTTCTCAGCTTCCTCAACTATAAAATGAGGGGGGCAGAACTAGACAATCTCTAAAATCCATTCGGGTTCTAAATCTCTGAAACTATACAAAGCAGTCATGTGTTACTTGCTTGTCAAACATTGTTTCTCATTTTAAATGACAAAACAATCACCACCATCTCCAGCCTGTCTCCACAGGAAACCAGAAGCAAAAACTGAGTAGGAAGGATGAAGGCAGGATCTGTTCATAGAGCAAAGGGAGGGCAGAAGAGGTTATGAGTATAAGCAGAAAATGAGATTCTCTGTACTAGCTGCCAAAATAGACATCACGATAGTCACTCAACCTCCCAGAGGGTCAAAACGATTCTGAGGCCCAGACCTGCATCTCTGCCACCTCATACCACCCTCAGTGAGCCTCTTCCTTATATTTTACATTCTTTGTTGATGGGACAAGCATCCCTTGGAGACAATATGGAGTAATAAATAGAGCACTGGACTTGGAGTCTGGAAGACCTGGGTTCAAATCTTACCTCAGATACTAATAAGCTGTGTGGCCCTGGGCAAGTCACTTAACTTTTCTAGGCCTCAGTTCTTCATCTGTAAAATAATAGCCTCTAAGGTGTGCTTGTTCATTAATAGACTTTTCAATGCTACCTCCAGTCTGACTGTACCTAAAATAAAACTCTTCTTCTGCTCAATAAAAATCTCAATTTTGTTGTGGAATTTGTAACTCTATTACAATGCAAAGAAAGGCAGTGGGGAAGTGGGAGGAAAGGGTGGTACAAAACGTAAGGGGGTATGAACAGAGGTTCCCTGTTTCTAGCCCATCGTGTGTCCTGGCTGAGTATTTGGGGGCTTTGGAGATGAGAAGCCCCTGACTGCTTCCAGCAGGACATGTGTGACTCAGCTCTGAAGGATTTGAATACTTGGTGCATGACAAAACAATTCTCTCATTGGCCCCTGAGCAGGAAGAACAGTCCACTAAGTCTGTCTTTAAAAGTGAGTGAGCTTGTCTGGTTTCTCTCTTTCTGCCAGTCAAGCATGGGAATACCCTTTGCACCTCTCTAACACGCCGATTATTCTCACATGCTATCTACAGGATGAGCTTGAGGCTGGGCTTCTGGCTGCCTCTTTTGATTTGCTTGATTATAACAGATATAAGATAACATCAGTCTCAAGACACACCTGTATAAGCTTGGAGGTGACTTTATGAGTTTGAGAGGTCCAGACTTCCTAAATCCTTAGTCACTGAGAGCTTCTTGGAGAAGACAGATGATCAATAGACAAAGGAGCCCCAATCCCTGATCTAACTTATCAAATGGAATAGTTTAGACAATGCAGAGCCAATCAAAAAGGAACAAAGAACACTTTGGGTTCAGCATTTCTTGGTGTAGGGGAAATAATTACCTGTCTCATACCTGATTTACATTGTACCTTAACCTTTCCACTACCCTTACTTTGGGAAGACCCTACAGGTGAGGCCAACCCAAGTTTTAAATAAATCTTCATAAATCTGGGTGCAATGAGTCAAAGACTTTGAGAAAAGGAGTCTGGCCCTTATTTTAATTGGTCAAACTACCCTATAACTGAACCACATTCCCCTCATACATAGGTCCAGGGCAAATAATCGTCTTCTTAATGGAAAGGGAGAGGGTATAGTGCACTAACCCCACAGACCCAACAGTGGTTTTAACTGATACATAAGAATAGACCCAGGAGAGAAAAAACCAATCTCTTCCTAAATAAGAGAAGGGCCAAGACAATATTACTTCTTAAAGCAATGGTATATTCTCTATACAAGTCATTTTAATAAATCTGCAGAGAGGTACCACGTTCTTATTTATTAGAGTGGGCAATGGCCTAATTGGTCTCCCTATCTCTGGGTTAAACTTACATTCCTAAAGCTAAGATCTGACCATACTTCCCTACTCAAAAAGATTTTGTGGTTTCCTGTTGCCTCAACTCAGAGCAGCTAGGTGGTGCGATAGGTACAGTATTGAGCCTAGAATAAGAAAAACTTAAATTTCTGGAGTTTAAATCTGGCCTCAGATTAGCTGCATGACTCTGGGCAAATCACGAGCTGGAGAAGGAAATGTCAAACCACACCAGTATCTTTGCCCAAGAAAACCCCAAATGGGATAACAAAGTCAGACATAACTGAAACAACTGAGCAACAAAAATTGCAGCTAAGTCCAAGCTTCAACCTGTCTTTCCCAGCTCGTGTCACATTACTGCCCTTCGTGTACTCTGGTCCAATCAAACTGGCCTATTTGCTATTCCCTATGTACAGCACTGCCTTTGCAAACCACATGAACTGTCCTCCATGCTTGGGAAGGCTCTCCCTCACCTCTCCTCTTGAAATCCCTGGCTCCCTAAAGAGGCCCTTTCCTGCTGATTCCTGGTGGCGCCTTTCCTCCTGAAATTACCAGGCATTTATTTTATGTTTATGTTGTTGTTTATTTATCTGTATACATGTTATATCCTCTCATTTGAATGGAAGCTTGAGGATAAAGATAATTTTTTTGTCTTTGCATCATCAGAGCCTAGCCACAGATGCTGACACATAGTCAACGCTTACTAAATGTTTATTGATTGACTAAATTGAATTGAATAAAACCTTTTGGCACAGGATCTCAAAGTGCTCTTTAAATTTATTACCTTATAGAAAATGCTTGAGAATCAAGACTGCAGAGTGGCAGTTCTTAACCTAGGATCCATTAATTATTTTTAGAAATATTTTTATAACTATATTTCAGCATAATTGGAAATTAACATATTTAATTATTGCTATTTCAGTATACTGTAATTTATTATGATCCCTTTGTAATTCTATATGTTTTATATTATGCATTTTAAAATATTATTCTGCAAGAGGGTCCCATAAGTTTCACCAGATGGCCAAGGAGGCCCATGATGATGGGGGGAAAAAAGATTAAGAAGCACTGCTCTAGAGTTTATTCTCCCTTTTCCAAAGTCCAATTTTTCAGTTTCTTTCCAGCAGACTACGAGATCATTAGATTCACCACTCTCCCCTCTATAATCTCGGGGAATGAAAGGGGGTGGGGAAGACAAATAGCTTTCAAAAGTTACTGCTTGTACCAAGTACACTCAGTAGTTTATTTACTCAGTTCAGATCTGCTTGATGTCACTGCTCTTACATCAGCAATTAGATCAGTGCATTATGATATATTAGTGATAGAATAATACCCTTTACAGCCTGATGTGCCCTTTGTCTCCTGATATAGTTTATTACCTGTCCTACGGATGTGAACAGATCACCTGAGGAGATGAGAAAAGACTCAAAACTTAGTTTGAAAATTAGCTGACTGAACAACAGAGGGAGTCCAAAAGGATCCAGTCTCATTCCCTATGTGAGTGATACTTCTAGATAGACTAACCTTGCCACAAATCTTTTTTTGGGGAAAGGATCATAGATTCAGGACTGGAAGGAGATTGTTTTTTGCTTAATTTAGTTCTGATAATTCATGTGCTATTTATTTCTTAACTTTTCATTCCAGCTACACAAGAACAAATAGATATAGGGAGAGAAGGAGGAATGAGTTCGGTTTGCCAGCTGTCAGCAGATTTAGCAAAAGATTTAATATATGGGAGTTTGAGACTAAGAAAAAAAAAGCAAAACCAAGTTTGGGGGGGTCATTTATGAAGTTAAATTTTCTAAGCTCTTGCCACAGTGTATGCTATAGGATATGTGTAATTAAGAACTGGTTTATAAGGAGAACATTATTTTTTCGAAATGACTCAAGAAGGCCCCTGAAAAGTGAAGCATTCTATCTTTCTTTTCTTAAGTTTAATTGATGCCTTTTGCTATCATATCATGGTCACTTCTGGATATATCACCATTCTTCCCACCCTTTATGCTCCAGACCATAATAGTCTGACAATTGCCAAGTCTGACGATGTACACAACATATTGGCCCTCATAGTCCCCTTCCTGTCTGCCAAGAAGATGAAGGTAAGTTTTATTATTCTAGACCATGATCGGATTGTTGTTTTTTTGTAGTTTGGGTTTTTTTTAATTGTTTGGAATTCAACTTTTTAGTGAGTTTTTCACTTAGGTGGTTGTATAGTCATTGATTTTCTGGTTCCCTGTATCAGTTAATACAAATCTTCCCATGTTTCTCTGAATTCCTCATATTCACCATTTCTTACTGCACAATAATATTTCATTTCATTCACATATCACAGTTTATTCATTCCTCTAACTGATGGCTGCTTACTCTGTGTCTAACTTTTAGGTCTTTCTTTTCAATGATTAAAGGTCTTCCAACTTGGACTACAAGGGACCGTGGCCTCAAAAGTCACATAGTAATGACTCTGCCTCAGAGGTAGAGCCAGAAACAAAAGTCTGGAATTAGGACAACACAGCTTCTCTCTTTTTAAAATGTAATATTCGTAAAGTGTCCTAATATTCTTAAAGAAGATTGTCTCTGTGATCACATGACATCTCATTCAAAATGTTTTGGAAAGTATTATAGTAATAACAATTGTGAATACAACTAATATTTTTAGATACACAGAGGATTCTCATTACAGCATAGGCTATTCCCAAAAGCTACCATATGAGCAGAGTCTGAATAACACATTTGCTCCCAACAACTTCAAAACACCTCTTCTCCATGAAAGTTCAATACATCCTCAGTGGCCTCAACTTCAAGCAACATCCCCAATCCAAACAATATTACAAATGTTATGAAAGTCCTTCCTAATGACATGTGAGGAAGCAAAGCTTGAATATTCTATTATACACCTTTCTGTGTAAAAATACATTGCTATAATCATGTTTGGTTTGATCAAAAAGAGTAATTTTCATTTCTCCTTTTTAAGTGCTACCATGATTATTTAGTATTATATTTCTTATCAGTGACTTAGTATGGAGGCTTTCCATGTTTTTCTTTTCTTTTCTTTCTTTCTTTCTTTCTTTCTTTCTTTCTTTTTTTTTTTTTTAAGTGAGGCAGTTGGGGTTAAGTGACTTGCCCAGAGTCACACAGCTGACTTCAGGGCCAGTGCTCTATCCCATGTTTTTCTTTATTTAAAGTAAACAATAAAAACAGAACAAGACCAAGAAAAGAAAGATGGGGAAGGGGGGAATCTTCTTTGTATTTGTCTTTTAAAAGAAATGGATTGATACATTTTGTTTTAACTTCAAAAAAAATAGACTGCCTCTGCTTCTTGGCATATATATAATATATAATCATATATATAATACATAATAATGATTATAATATAATCTATAATCTATAAATAATAATATAATCTTGGAATTAGATATAAATTAGCATCTATATAGAGGTTTTAAATTATCTCATTTGAACCTCACAACAATCCTATAGGTTAGGTATGTGTGGGATGCCACTCAAAAAAAAAATGAAACAAAACACAGAGGTGTCCAAGGAGAAACAGAAAGTTAATTTATTATAGCTATAATTATTATTATTATTTCAAATCTTGAGATTTGGGTGTCCTCGCACCAATGGCTCTGATGAGAGAAGACAGCCGGCAGAGGTAGAAATCACTTTATATAACCCTGAAGACTCAATTACCCCCTCCCTCCCCCAGCTGCGGACTCACAATCTCCCACACCAGACTCTAATTTACAGTTGTTTTGGAAGGTTTTAGGGATTGAACAGACAATGCTGGGAACTGGAAAACATCTGAGTAAGGTCCTGTCAAAGGGTGATAAGGGGAGTCGATAAGGAACCCTTTAAGGGTTTTCTGGAGCTAGATTCCTTTAGGGGCAAAGATGCATTGGAATAAGATTAAAAAGTAAGTTAAGACTTAACCCCTAGACAAATTTTAACTACTGATATATGTCACTAAAAAAAAAACTCACAGAAATCTATTCTTAACCCTATCCTACCTTCTGAACTCATTACCTTAATTACACTGAGAAGTCTTCACTGGGACATCCCATTCAGGTACTATTGTTATTCCCATTTAATAGATGAGGAAACTGAAGCTAAAAAGTTAAGTGATTTGCCCAGGTCTACGTAGTCAATTACGTGTCTGAGGCATAATTTGAACTCAGTTCGGAATTAATCTCTACTTTCCTGAGATCAATAAAAAAAATAAGGTAAGGAGAGAAGGAAATAAGCACCTAAACTGAAGGCAGAAAACACTACCTATATTAAAACAATGTAAAAAGAAATTATATTTGATATCAAACCAAATACCATGAAATTCCTTTGTTCTGCAAATGCAATGGAAATAATGTTCTCAGAATATGATAAATATAGGCAGCAAGGTCTAATTTATGGGAAAATATAAACTGTGATAAAAATGCAGATAAAGTACTGATACCATGTATGATACCATAACAACAAAGGGTTCTCTCTACTTCCTTTTAACAGTCACTCTCCATAATTAAATACCTCTTTATGAGCTATCTATAGAATACTTCTTTCTTGCTAATTCACTTGGAAAGATAGTCAGCAGAACATAGCTGTCCTTCATAGCTATGTGGTTCCACAGAGGGCTAACCTCAGATGCCTTTGTCCTTGAACATCTCAAACTTCCCAAATACTCCCTTTAACAGAGATGGCCAGTGAACTTTGAGAGGCAGAGAGGTATATTTAAAGAGGGTTGGACTGAAGAGTCAAGAGAGATCTGGTTTCTAATACACACCTCCAACACTTATTCAAACACTTAGTGTTTGTGCCCATGACTGTGGGCAAATCATTTAACTTCTCTTGAGCTTCAGTGATAATACCTTACAGGGTTGTCTTTAGGATTAAGTGGAATAATGTATGCAAATGGGCACAATAAATGTCAGTTATTATTATTGAGAGCTCATGTAATGGATAGAGCCAGTCTTTGAATCAGGAAGTCCTGAGTTCATATCTGGTCTTACACTTACTAGCTGTGTGACCCTAAGCAAATCACTTAATCCTGTTTTCCTCAGTTTCCTCATCTGTAAAGTGAGCTGGCAGAGTAAATGGCAAATCCTAAATGGGGTAACAAAGAGTCAGAAATGACTGACCAACAACAAACTTCAGTTAGCGTTTGGGATGCTAGCTTTGGAGCAGTAACAATGCTGTTTAGTTGTGATGAACACTATTTTTGAATAGTTGAAATGTTACTGAAATGAATATGAAACTTAGATCATTCCAACATACTCCCAACACAGTTGGGTCTTATAAAGAAATTAGCAGTGACCAAGAGGGAACAATACCCAGGAAACTGCAGAGTTTAGCTTGAATGTAGTGGGATTTCTGCATACTGGAATGATTATCGGGCTCCAAGTCAGAACCGGCTCCACCAACCGATCACTGAGTCAAGGCATGTGCATTCTATAGCAAGTTCAGCTTAAGAGTCACCCCTTTGTATAATGTAGAGCCTATATCAGATTGAATACCATCTTGGGGTGGGGGGAGGGAAGAGATGGGGAGAAAATTTGGAACTCAAAATCTTATGGAAGTGAATGTTGAAAACTACAAATAAATAAATTTTAAAAACAAAAAAAAGTCACCTCTTTTGTGAAATCTTAACCAGATCTCTCCCAATGAAGGTGTTCTGACCCTCAAATTTTCCTTACTTTGTCTGGATTTCTTCTTCCCCACCCTAAACATATTGTAACTTGTATCACTTCTCTAGGCTCCCAGAGGACAGGAACTATGTCATTTTTTATCCCCATTATATGTATCTCTAGTGCCTCAAGCATGCTGGGTAGCTCCTCTGAATAGCATCTGTGGAAAAGTATAGAGAGAAGCATGGATACGTTGCAATCTATACCAATAGAAATACCCACACTGATGAGTTTATAAATCAACTGAAGTATAGAAAGAATGCTGTATTTGGAGTCTGAATTCAAATCTCAGGCCTACCAATGTGTAATCTTGGACAAGTCCCTTCATCTCTCCTTTTTATGATCCAGTGAGCTCCACTGCCCAGCATATGCAAGGCTCACAAAGCAGATAATTAATGTCTATTGAATTGAATTGCTATGTTGTTTTGTTAAAAGCTAGAATTGCTAGGTATGTTTAGCTGGAAGAGCTACTACTTCAACTAAACAATATGTCAATAAAATACTGTTTAATATTGTTGTTCAATACTTGTCGCTATCTTTTTCATCTCCTTCCTCTGAATTTTTGAATCTTCGAATTTTTTCCACTCAAGATTTTATCATGAAGTAATGAAGTCCAAAGCATAGTAAGAATGTGACAAACCTTGCAACCCTGTGATAGGTTTGAGGTTACAGGAGGGGCAATCCAAACAACTTAAAACACTGTGTAGGTGTCAATGAAATTATTATTATTGATGATATTATTGTCATTCTGGGCCAGCCCTGACTGAAGGCAGGCTAATGGTTCAGGATGAAAGAAAAGATCAATGAATTGGGCATACAACTAAAAAAAAAAAATTGAAAAAATCCCACATTTTAAACCCTCAATTAAATACCAAAATAGAAATACTGAAAATCAAAGGAGAGATTGACAAACTTCCAAGTTTAAAACAAAATGACAAATAAAATGAGTGTTTTAAAAAAAAATAAAAACACCATTAGCTAACTTAAGAACAAGAAAGAAGAAAACTAAATTACCAGTATTAAAAAAAAAAAAGGAAAAGAAAAGAAAAAGGTGAAAGCACAACCAATGAAAAAGAAACAAAAGCAATTTAGGAGCTAATTATATGCCAATAAAACTGGCAATTTAACTGAAAAGGATAAATATTTACAAAAATATAAATTCTCCAGATTAACAACTATACATGAACTCCTGAAGGAAAAAGCCCAGGATCAGATGGATTTGCAAGGGAATCCTACAGAATATTTAACAATTAATTCTAATACTATATAAAATCTTGGAAAAATAGGTAAAGAAGGGATCCTACTAAATTCCTTCTTTGACACAAATATGGTCTAAACCAGGGACATTCAAAACAGAGGAAGAAAATTGTAGACCAATTCCCTAATAAATTAATATTGATACAAAAATTTTAAATAAAATATTAGCAAGGAGCCTACATAATATATAATATTATACATTATCACCAGGCTGTCTTTGTACCAAGAATCAAAAGGTTTGATATTAAGAAAACTAGGAGCATAATTGACCATATCAATAGAAAACAAACAACAAAAATGATATGATTATTTCAACAGATGCACAAGAAAAAAAAGCTTTTGACAAGCTATAACACCTATTCCCATTAAAAACACCAGAAAGGCCTTTCCCCCAAGTTGGCGCCAAAGGCAAAAAAGGAAGCGGTTGTCCCCCCAAGACAGAAGCTAAGTCCAAGGCCTTAAAGGCCAAGAAGGCAGTGTTGAAGGGTGTTCACAGACACAAAAAGAAGAAGATCTGAACGTCCCTCACATTCCAGCGACCCAAGACACTAAAACTCCGATGGCAGCCCAAATACTCTTGGAAAAGTGCCCCTCAGAGGAACAAGCTTGACCACAATGCCATCATTTAGTTCCCTTGACCACAGAGTCCGCTATGAAGAAGATTGACGACAACACCCTGGTCTTCATTGTGGACATCAAGGCCAGCAAGTATCAGATCAAGCAGGTGGTAAAGAAGCTCTATGACATCCGACGTGGCCAAGGTCAACACTCTGATCTGGCTTGATGGAGAGAAGAAGGCCTACGTCTGACTTGCCTCCAGACTATGATGCTTTAGATGTTGCCAACAAAATTGGAATCATCTAAACTGTGCCCAGCTATCCCACTCCACCTATAATAAAAAGTTTTCTAGTCTAAAAAACAAAAACGAAACAACAAACCAAAAAAAACAAAACCCCACCAGAAAGCATAAGAATAAGTGGAGCTTTCTTTAAAATGAAAAGCAATATCTATCTAAATCCAAGAGCCAGCATTATCTGTAAAGGAGATGTTATAGGCATTTTCAGTATAACCACAGGTAAAGTAAGGATACTAATCAATACTAGAAATTATTGCTATAGCAATAATACAAGAAAAAAGACATTGAAGGAATAAACATAGGCAAAGGGGAAACACAAATATCTTTTTTTTTTGCAGATAATATGAACACTAAAGAACTAAATAAAATTAATTGCTATACCTAAGAACTTCAGCAAAGTTGCAGGATATAAAATTTTGTTCAGTCATTTTTCAGTCATGTCTGACTCTTCGTAACCCCATTTTGGGGTTTTCTTTGCGAAGATACTGGAGTGGTTTGCCATTTTTTCTCTAGCTCATTTTTTACAGATGAGGAACTGAGGCAAACAGGATTAGATGACTTGCCCAGCGTCACACAACTAGTAAATGTCTGAGTCTGGATTTGAACTCAGAAAGATAGTTTTCCTCACTTCAGGCCTGGCACTGGACCACCTAGCCACTGGGATATAAAATAAACCCTCACAAATCATCTGCATTTCTGTATATGGCCAACAAAATTCAGCAGGAAGACATTAAAAGAGAAATCTCATTTAAAATAACTATAGACAGCATAAAATACTTGGGAATCTACCTCCTAAGATACTCACAGGAACTATATGAACCCTTATCATACAAAGAAAGGCAGATTTAAATAACTGGAGAAAATTAATTGCTCATGGGTAGGCCAAGCCAATATAATAAAAATGGCAATACTACCTTGGTATCCCCTTGGTATACTCCAATTGAAGACCACCTTTGTTGATTCAAATTTCTCACAGTATTTTGTTTGGACCTCTCCTTTACACTTTGCATCATATTTGTTTGGTTATGTGTTTCATGTTCTTTCCTTTGTCTCACTAAATTGTGAGGTCCTTAAAGGCATAGCGTCATTTTTGTAGTACCTCGCTCACTGCCTTGCATTTACTAAATATTTATTAAATTGAAGTGAAGCAAACCAACACGAATTGAACAAATTCTGAATCCTTTCATCTCTGGTGGGGAAAAGGAAAGAGCTAGGTGGGGGGACAGGAACTGCTCTCAGCCACAGTAGCCTCTTGCAGAGAGAGGCTGTATGAGCAAAGCTCTCACTCAGCTCACAGCCCTGCTATTTGTCAAGAATGAATTATTAGGGGCAGCTAGGTTGCACAGTGGATAGCGCACTGACCCTGGATTCAGGAGGACTTGAGTTCAAATCTGGCCTCAGACACATAACACTTACTAGCTGTGTGATCCTGGGCAAGTCACTTAACCCCAATGCCTAGCCAAAAAAAAAAAATGAGTGAATTATCAGGGATCTTCTAATGATTATATTAATGATTTCTTTACTATCAGTTCATCTATTTCTATATTTCCATTTGAACATAAGTGGATGCTTAATTTTAAATGAACAAATATTTTTCTGCTGTTGTTGTTTTATGTAGGCATCATGAGGAAAACCAGTTCTTCCTTACAGAACAACGAGAGTGGTTCGATTTCCATAGAAAGAAGCTCTAGCAGGGGAAATCTTCAAATTATGTTGGATAAAGGTGAATACGCTCCTTTCACATCTACTCTTATTTTAGAGAGCAATTTTATTCAGGTAAGTCACACTTCAGTTTACAATTTAACTCCAAACAGCTTTTATAATCAATTCTTTTAGTCTCTCATCCATTTTCTAATATATAACCACTCACAGTAGTTCCTGTTATTAAAAAAAGTTAAAGCAAAACCATCGAAGAGAATGATTACAACTGGCTATATCCATCCCTTTCTCTTCTTATGATATATATGAACTAATAATTTAAAATCAATACTATTCATTGTTTGACCACAGTTTTGCTTTTATTGTGGTCTTCACATAGTTGTCATCTATGTTATTCTAATGGTTCTGTTTTCTTAAATCTATACTAATTCATAAAGGTTTTTTACCATGCTTCTCTGAATTCTTTATACTTATAATTCCTTAAGCTATAATTGCATCCCATTACATTCATATGCAACAATTTGCTCACCCATTTCTCAAACTTTGGGTATATATATTTTTTCAATGATATATAGTACTGTTATAAAATACTTTGGCATATGTGGTCCCTGTCCTTGATCTCCTTACTTATCTGAGATATTCTATTCATCTAATTTTCTATCTTTTAACCAGTTCCTGATAATTTTAATAATTACTATTTGTAATATCATCAGGAAAACACCCTTCATTATCATTTTTAAAATTTATCTCCCTTGATATCCTTGACTTTTTGTTGGCCTGTATAAATTTAATTATTATTTTGTCTAATTCCATAAAGTATGATTGGTAGAATACTAAGTATATAGATGTATATGAATAGTACTGTGATTTTTCTTACATCAGATATCTCTTAGATTATTTGTTTTTTTGCATTTTGTAGTTATCATAATTATCAAATATTTTAAACTCTTCTATCATTTCCTCCCAGATTTTGTTGGTGATACATGGAAATGCCAATGATTTTTAAAGTAATGGAGTAGAAAGGAATTTAAACTCTTACAATGCGACAAGATCTCTTTCAAATCTTGCTATTTTTGCTGAACTGATTGTCTTAATTGGCTTTTTCATTAATTCTCTAAGGTTTTGTAAGTAAACCATCTCATGCGTGTATATCTCAACAAATGGAGATGTTTACCTCCTCTCTGCTATCAAACACATCTAATTTATACTCCTACCTCATCTGCATCACACAGAATCCCTCTCTTCCCTCAAGACTCAGTTCAAGTACCATCTTCTACATGAATGCTTTATCCTGACATCCCGCCTCCTGCAGCTGTTAGATCTCTCTCTCTCTCTCTCTAATTACCTTTAATTTAATTAATTTGTACTTTGTAATATATGTAACAGGCTTATTATTTCTTCATAGGTAGGCAGGGCCAACATAATAAAAATGATAATTTTACTTAAATTAATTTATATATTCAATGCCATCCCAATTAAATTACCAAAAAATTATTTTACTCATTTAGAGAAAAATAATAATAAAATTCATTTGGAAGAAGAAAAGGTCAACAATATCAAAGGAACTAATGGGAAAAAATGTAAAGGAAAGAGGTAACAGTAACCGTTATTAAACTATTAAATCAATAACAGATATTAAACTATATTTATAAGGCAGTAATTATCAAAACTATCTGGTACTGGCTAAGAAAATAAAAATGTAGATCATTGGAAGAGAGTAGACATACAATTTACAGCAGTAAATAACTAATTTACTACTTGTGTTTGAGAAGTGTAAAGACTTAAGTTTGGGGGATAAGAATTCATTATTTGGTAAAAAAAAAAACTGTTGGGAAAGCTGGAAAGCAGTCCAGCAGCAATTGGTCATAGACTTATCTTACACCATTTACCGAGATAAGGTCAAAATGGATACATGACCTAGATATAAGGAGAGATCTTACAAGAAAATGTGAAGAATATGGAACATATTACCCATCAGACTTATGGATAGGCAAACAATTTATGAATAAACAGAAGATACAGAGCTGTGTGAGCTGTAAAATGAATAATTTCAATTATATTAAGTTAAAAAGTGTTTATATAAGTAAAACAAATGTAGCCAAGGTCACGAGAAAAGCAGAAAATTATGTGTGTGGGGGGGGAATTTTATAGACAGTTTCTCACATAAAGGTCTCATATAAAAAATATATAAAGAACTCTGTCAAATCTATAAGAATGTGAGTCATTTCCCATTTGATAAATGGTCAAAGGATATGAATAGGCAGTTATCTAATGAAGAAATCAAAACAATTTATAGTCATATGAAAAAATGCTCTAACTAAATTATTATTGATTAGATTTGCTAAAATGATCGAAGGGGAAAGCAACAAATGTTGGAAAGGATGTGGAAAAATTGGGACACTAATTCACTGTTGGTGGAACTGTGAACTTGATCCAACCATTTTGGAGAGCAATCTGGAATTGTGCCCAGAGAGTTATTAAACTGCCTATACCCTTTGACTCAACAATCCCACTACTAGCTCTGTTTCCAGAGATGATTAGGAAAAAGGAAAAGAACCTATATGTTCTAAAATATTTATAGCAGTAGTCAAAAGGTATAGGCAGTCTAATAACCCTCTGGGCATAATTCCAGATTGTAGTAGTCCTCTTTATGGTGGCAAAGAATTAGAGATTATGCTCTCCAAAATGGTTAGATCAAGTTCACAGTTCCACCAACAGTGAATTAGTGTCCCAATTTTTTCCACATCCCTTCCAACATTTTAAAAAATTGATGTATAATGCTAAAAAATGTCAAAGTGACTCAATTCTACAAAATCCCACAAAAAGGAAAATACTCACCTCTAAGCTAGTAATGGGACAATGACTATCATTTTGCAAGTGAGTTCTGTTATTTGTCCAGGTGAAGGTGGACAAGAAGTCCCATAAACCTATCTTTCGATACCACTGTTATTACTTTTAAAATCTGGGCAAAAAAACTGGAAAGAAAAAAAAACCCTATCAGTATAACCTCCCCCTGACATCTGGGTATTAGACCTTCCACAACTTTAACACAGGTACAGAGAGGTTTGTTTAACCGGCTCTTCCATTCTGAAGAGCTCATCCTCAGGAAATGAGTCATGACGTAAAGAAGGTACTTTTTCTTCTACGGACATCTTAGCCCCATGTTAATCCTGTTTGTTATTTTCCCCTTTTATCATTTTAGCCAATCTGACAGGTGTGAGATGATATCTCAAAGTTGGTTTAACTTGCATTTCTCTAATCAATAATGATTTGGATCATTTTTTCATATGACTACAAATGGTTTTGATTTCTTCATTGGTAAACTGCCTGTTCATATCTTTTGATCATTTATCAATTGGGGAATGACTTGTATTCTTATAATTTAACAAAGTTCTTTAAATATTTGAGATATGAGACCTTTACCTGAGAAACAATCTATATAATTTTCCTCCAGTTTTCTGCTTTCCTTCTAATCTTTGCTACATTGGTTTTATTTGGACAAACCTTTTCGATTTAATGTAATCAAAATCATCATTTCACATCTCACAATGCTATCTCTTATTTATTCATAAATTGTTCACCCCTTAAGTCTGATAGGTAATGTGTTCCATATTTTAGTTTTTATATGTTTTCTCCCTTTATATCTAGGTCATGCATTCATTTTGACCTTGTCTTGGTAAATGGTGTAAGATATTGATCTATACCCAACTTCTGCCAGACTTCTTTCAAGTTCTCCCAAAAATTTTTACCAAATAGTGTATTCTCATCCTAAAAGGTTACTATAGTCATTTGCTGCTATAAATGTATGTCTACTCTGTTCCACTGATCTACCTTTCCATTTCTTAGCCAATACCAGATAGTTTTGATATCTACTGCCTTATAATATAAGATCTGGTATTGCTAAGCCTCCTTCCTTTATATTTTTTTAAAATTAATTCCTTTGACATTCTTGACTTTTTGTTCTTACAAATGAATTTTTTTTTTCTAGCTCAATAAAATAATTTTTGAAAGTTTAATTGGGATAGCATTGAATAAGTACATTAGGTAGAATTGTCATTTTTATTAGATTGGCTCTGCCCACCCATGAACAATTAATATTTCTCCAATTATTTAAATCTGACTTTATTTGTATAAAAAGTTTTATAATTATGTTCATGTAGTTCCTAGGTATGTCTTGGTAGGTATACTCCTAGGTATTTTATACAATCTACAGTTATTTCAAATGGGGTATCTCTTACTATCTCTTCTTGCTGGGTTGTGTTTTGGGGGATTTTTTGCAACATATAGAAGTGGTGATTTATGTGAGTTTATTTTATATCCTGCTACTTTGTTCAAATCATTGTTCAACTAACTTTTTAATTAATTTATTTTTCATTTTCAACATTCACTTCCACAAGATTTTGAGCTCCAAATTTTCTCCCCATCTTGTCCCTCCCCCCACCCCAAGATGGCATGTATTTTGAATATTCTTTCTCCTAATCTGCCCTCCTTCTAGCTCTCCCCTCCTTCTCTTATCTCCTTCCCCTTCAATCTTCCTGTAGGGCAGAATAGCTTTCTATACCCCATTTCCTATATATTTTATTTCCCAGTTGCATGTGAAAACAATTTGTTTTTTTAACATTTGTTTTTAAAACTTTGGGTTCCAAATTTTCTCCCTTCCTCCCTCCCCACTCACCCTCATTGAGAAGGCAAGCAACTCAATTCAGGTTATACATGTGTAGTCAGGCAAAACACTTCCATGGTAGTCATTCAACTAACTTTTTAATTGAATCTTTAAGATTTTCCAAGTATACCATCATATTGTCTACAAAAAGAGAGCGTTTTATAACCTCATTGACCATTCTGATTCCTTCAATTTCTTTTTCTTCTTTTATTGCTATGGATAACATTTCTAGTACAATATTGAATAATATTAGTGATAACGGGCATCCTTGTTTCACTCTTGATCTTATTGGGAAGGCCTCTTTCTTATCCCCATTACAAATAATACTTGCTGATGGTTTTATGTAGATGCTTCTTATCATTTTAAAGAAAAATCCATTTATAACTTTGCTTTTGATTGTTTTTAATGGGAATGTGTGTTGTATTTCGTCAAAAGCTTTTCTGAATCTACTGATATAATCATATGATTTTTCATACTTTTGCTATTGATATAATCAATTATGTTAATAGTTTTCCTTATATGTTAAACCGTCTCTGCATTCCTGTTATAAATCCCACTTGGTCACTACGCAAATTCTTCATGATATGTGTAATCTATTTTCAAATAATCTTCCTCTCTCTAAATTCCCTCCAACATGGTGCTTTGTCTTCAGCCAGGATACAAGATACCAGAAACCTAGACTGTCAGATACTTTAGGGAAGGGAAAGGAAATGAAATAAGCATTTATATGGCCCCTACTAAATGTGAGGCACTTTACAAATATCTCATTTGATCCTCACAACAGTTGTACAAGGTAGGTGTTGCTATTATCCCCATTTTACAGTTGAGGAAATTGAGGCAATTGAGTTTAGTGTCTTGCCGAGAGTCACACAGCTAGTTAGTGTCTGAAGCAGGATTTGAACCCAAGCTATATCCCCTGCAGCATCTAGCTGCCTATAAATACTGTAGATATACTACCACATCATGATTTTTTTACAGCACTGGAAATTCAATAAGTACATGTCTTTACAGAATTAAGTCCCCCTCCCCCATACAATTAAACCAGTTAAGGCTGATCTTTCCAATCTCTTGCTGTAACAAAGACTTCCATCTCTCCCATCCCATATTCATCACTAATTTCCCCCTCCTTTCTTCTCACCTACCTGCATACACACGTTTTCAGTCCAATGATACTGTGGCTAGTTTTGGAATGACAATAAATCAAATTCCCAACCATATTTTCTGCATGTAGGTCAACAGGAGAGGAGAGTCCGTGTATCTTCATAACCGAGCCAACTGGGTGACTGTAGGCATCTGTGCTTCCAGACCCAATCTCAATTTTCCCAACGTGATGTTGCTAGCACATCTGGTATCTAACTCCAAGAAAGACAATAAGCCAACATCTGATGATTTCTTGAGCCCCACCTCTGAAGTTCAACTGGTGCTCAGCAGGTAAGTTGCAAAGGGCAAAAAAATTAAAACATCTTTTCTACATGGAATTAGAAAGATCATATAGCTTGTTTCAGGTTTAACATATTGCATATATTATCCTCGGCATGATGAAATAAAAAAGGGTTAACATGCCTAAAATTAATATTCTTAAGATATTGTTAAAGCCAACTATCTATCAGTAATTCTCATGGGAAATCAAAAGACCATAAAAACACTTCAGCAAAGTAAAGTAGTGATTTTTCATTAATTTATTTTACAAATGAGTGAAAATAATTTTCTGATCCTTTTACATAAATGCTTTTTCCCTCAAAGTAATTTCTGGCCCTCTGAGAGGCTACCACACATCTCTCCGCCCCTCCCACACACTCACTTTACTTGCTAAGGCTGGATACTCCCTTTTACTTTTATCCAGGTAAGCTAAAGGATCCTTCTTCCAGAAAAACCCCCTTTGCTCATGGTTGTAAATATAATTTTACTACTGTCCCCTCCCCTGGAATCTTTGAAAAGCAAAGTCTCTCCTAATAATGCCACCCTTTGATGTCCCAAATACTTTAAAATTTTATTTATTTTTTATTTTTAACATTCACTTCCATAAGACTTTGAGTTTTAACTTTTCTCCCCCTCCCTTCCTTCCCACATCCCCAAGACAGCATGCAATTTGATATAGGCTCTACATACACATTCATATTAAACATGTTTTCACATTAGCCATGTTGTAAAGAAGAATTAGAACCAATAGGAGGAACCACGAGAAAGATGAAACAAAACAAAACAAAACAACAAAAAAAGAGAGCAAATAATCTGCTTTGATCTGCATTCAGATTTAGATGTGGACAGTATTTTCCATCACAAATCTTTTGGAGCTGTCTTAGATCCTTGCATTCCTAAGAAGTTTTGATGATTGCTGCTTTATAATACAATTTAAGATCTGGTACAGCTAGGCCACCTTCCTTTGCATTTCTTTTCATTAATTCCCTTGATATTTTGGACCTTTTGTTCTTCTAGATGAATTCTGTTATTATTTTTTCTAGCTCTATAAAATAATTTTTGGTAGTTTGATTGGTATGGCACTGAATAAGTAAATTAATTTAGGTAGAATTGTCATTTTTATTATATTAGCTCAGCCTACTCTTATTTAGATCTGACTTTATTTGTGTGAAAAGTGATTTGTAATTGTGTTCATATAGTTCCCAGGTGTGTTTTTACAGGCAGACTCCCACATCTTTTATCATGTCTACAGTAACTTTAAATAGAATTTCTCTTTCTATCTCTTGCTGTTGGGCTTTGTTAGTTATATATAGAAATGCCAAGGATTTATGTGGGTTTATTTTACATCCTGCAAATTGCTAAATTTGTTTATTATTTCAAGTAGTTTTTTACTTGATTCTTTAGGATTCTCTAAGTATGTCATCATATCATCTGCAAAGAGTGATAGCTTTGTTTCTTCTTTGCCTATTCTAATTCCTTCAATTTCTTTTTCTTCTCTTATTGCTAAAGCAAACATTTCTAGTACATTATTGAATACCAGTGGTGATAATGGACACCCTTGTTTTATCCCCACTCTTATTAGAAATGTTTCTAGCTTATCTCCATTACATATAATGCTTGCTGATGGTTTTAGATAGATGCTACTTAGCATTTTAAGGAAGACTCCATTTATTCCTATGCTATCTAGTGTTTTTAATAGGAATGGGTGTTGTATTTTGTCAAAAAGCTTTTTCTGTCTCTATTGAGATAATCATATGATTTCTGTTAGTTTTGTTATTGATATGGTCAATTATGCTGATACCTTTCCTAATATTGAACCAGCTCTGCATTCCTGGTATAAATCCTACCTGGTCATAGTGTATTATCCTCGAAACAAGTTGATGTAATCTCTTTGCTAATATTTTATCTAAAATTTTCGTATCTATATTCATTAGGAAAATTGGTCTATAATTTTCTTTCTCTGTTTTGACTCTTCCCAGTTTAGGTATCAGCACCATAACTGTATCATAAAAAGAATTTGGTAGGACTCCTTCTTCACCTGTTTTCCCAAATAGTTTACATAGTATTAGAACTAATTCTTCTTTAAATGTTTGATAGAATTTACATATAAATCCATCTGGCCCTGGAGATTATTTCTTAGGGAGTTCATTGGTGGCTTGGTCAATTTCTTTTTCTGAAATGGGGTTAAGTTTTTTATTTCCTCTTCTGTTAATCTGGGTAATTTATATTTTTGTAAATATTCATCCATTTCACTAAGATTCTCAAATTTATTGGCATATAATTGGGCAAACAGCTCCTAATTATTGTTTTAATTTCTTCTTCATTGGTGGTGAATTCACCCTTTTCATTTTTGATACTGGTAACTTGGTCTTTTTTAAAATTAAATTAATCAAAGGGTTATCTATTTTATTGTTTTTTCATAAAACCAGCTCTTAGTTTTATTACTTCAATAGTTTTTTTTTATTTCAATTTGGTTAATCTCTCCTTTGTTTTTCAGAATTTCTAATTTGGTATTTAACTAGGGATTTTTAATTCCTTCTTTTTCTTCTTCTAGCTTTTTTAGTTGCATGCCCAATTCATTGATCTCCTCTTTATGTTATTCATGTAAGCATTTAGAGATATAAAACTTCCCCAAAGAACCACTTTGGTTGCATCCCATAAGTTTTAGTATGTTGCCTCATTATTGTCATTCTCTTAGATGAAGTTATTGACTGTTTCTCTATGATCTGCTGTTTGACCCATTCATTTTTTAGGATTAGATTAGTTTCCAATTAATTTTTAATCTATCTTTTCATGGCCCTTAATTACATGTAATTTTTATTGCATGATCTGAAAAGGATGCATTTAATATTTCTGCCTTTCTGCATTGGATTGTGAGATTTTTATGCCCTAATACACGCTCATTTTTTGTGTAGGTGCCATGTACTGCTGAGAAAAAGATATATTCTTTTCTATCCCCATTCAGTTTTCTCCAGAGGTCTACTATATCTAACTTTTCTAAAATTCTATTCATCTTCTTAACTTCTTTCTTGTTTATTTTGTGGTTAGATTTATCTAGTTCTGAGAAGGGGAGGTTGAGATCCTCCAACAGTATAGTTTTGCTGTCTAGTTCTTCCTGTAACTCCCTGAACTTCCCCTCTAAGAATCTGGATGCTATACCACTTGGTGCATATATGTTGAGTAATGATAATACTTCACTATCTATGGTATTTTTTAGCAGGATGTAGTTTCCTACCTTATCTCTTTTAATTAAATCTATTTTTACCTTTGCTTTGTCTGAGATCAGGATTGCTACCCTCTGCTTTTTTTCTTTCTTTTTTTTTTGTCACTTCAGCTAAAGCATAATATATTCTAACTCCAGCCTTTTACCTTTACTCTGTGGGTATCCCTCTGCTTCAAATGTGTTTCTTCTAAACAACATATTGTAGGATTATATTTTTTAATCCACTCTGCTATCCACTTCTGTTTTATGGGAGAGTTCATCCCATTCACATTTACAGTTATAATTACTGTCTGTGTCTTTCTCTCCATCCTATTCCCCCCTCCCCATTTATGCTTTTCTCTCTCCTTTCTCCCTTTCCCTCCTCACTAGAGTTTTGCTTTTGACCACCACCTCCCTCAATGTGTCCTCCCTTCTATCAGCCCCCTCCCTTTTCTTCCCCTTTTCCCTTACTACTTCTTCCCTCCCTTCTGTCCACTCCCTCCCTTTTCTTTCCCCTTTCTCTTCCTACTTCCTACAGGGGAAGTTAGATTTCTATACCCTCTTTGAGCCAAATCTGATGAGAGTTAGGTTCAAACAATGCTCATCTTCCTCCCTTCTTCCCCTCTATTATAATAGGCCTTTATACCTCTTCATGTGATATAATTTACCCTTTTCTGCCTCCTCCTTTCCTCTTCTCTCAGTACAATCCTTTTTCACCACTTAATTAGATTTTTTATCATCACATCAAAGTCAACTTATACCTCTGTCTATGTATACCCCTTCTAAATGTCATAATAAAGATACAGTTCTCAAGAGTTACAAGTATCATCTTCCCTTGTAGGGATATAAACAATTTGTCTTTACTAAATAATATGTTGGGTTTTTTTCTTTCCTGATTACCTTTTTATGCCCTCTCTTGGGTCTTGTATTTGAAGATCAAATTTTCTATTGAGCTTTGGTCTTTTCATCAGGAAGATTTGGAAGTCCCCTATTTTGTTCAAAATCCATCTCCTCCCCTGAAAGATTATGCTCAGTTTCACTAGGTAGTTGATCCTTGGTTGTAAACCAAGCTCCTTTGCCTTATAGAATATCATATTCCAAGCCTTCCAATCTCCCAAATATTTTATGGGAAAGATCTGTATGAATCATCTCATATGAAATGATGCCTACCAATTGTGGAAGAGGACCTAAACCATTTCTTTAAGTTGCACAAAACTCTCTGATGGGGCAGAAACCTCAGGGCCCAGGGGACTCTGCACAGAAGATGGAGGAAGAAAGGGCCAAGGATGGTCAAGCTGGTACTATATCTCTTGAAAGCTGGACCTAAGAAACAGCTGGAAAGAAAGGTCCCAGTCTTTTCTTGGGATAGCACTGATTTATCAGAAACATGGCTTCTGGGATAAGAGGGACAATGATGATAATGATGGTAATGGTGATGATGATGATGTTGCTTTAAAAGTTCCAGCATCTGTGTGATACCAGATGTCTGGGGATGGTATAGAAGATGGAAAACCCAGCATATGTGATGGCAATGGGTCCAATTCAGGCCCTTCTTCCAAATAAAATGGGCTCCTCAGAAAAGAGCCAATGGTTTAATAACAAAGAAAGATGTGTTTTGTCTAGACTTTGACATTGGCTGCCAAAGTAGCAGACTTGTAATCCTAAACTTGAATAGCTATTCACTGCAGTGAGGACAAACTTCTTGCTCTGCTATGGAGAAAGATAGAAAATATAATCATGCCAAACAGAAGCAGGTCAAAAACCACATAGGATCAAACCATGTTTCAAAGGCAGATGTTCTGATTTTCAT